CATTATTCCTTATGTAATAAAATATATATTTATCGCGTTTAAAACTTGTAAAATATTTAAAAAGTAGATATACATACTACTAATTCAAATCTGTTTGTATTTATTAATATGTGTACAAATTAATGGAAATTAAAACTTTCATTCCAATAACATTTCTTATTTATTATATTGTATTCCGTTAGACTTATGTTTCATGTATAACGTTTATTATACTAAATATAACTACAATGTTACAAACTAACAGAATTCCAGTAGATTTAAGAATAACGGTGTATCGTTCGATTTCGCAATATGGTTATGTACATATGCAAGAAAAATTTGGAAAAGGAAAATGGTGAAGTAGGAGGTTAACCCTTTTAGTGCCGGACGACGATATATCGTTGTTTGCAACACTTGCGAAAAGTGCCAGCGACGATATATCGTTGCGCATCCAATAGCGCCTTACTATTCGCATTGCAGAAGAATTCTATTTCAATTTTTCAAAATTTATAAAACGTTATAAATGGTTTAATTTCATTGCAAGAATTTTTTTTGAATTATATAAATATTTTTAGTTTGGCTTTTATGAACTTTTTCCCAAACCTTAGTAAATTCGTCCGATTATCTTCGCACAGGCACCCGTTTTTCGCCCGGCACTAAAAGGGTTAAGCAGTGTCATAAATGAGTAATTGACTGGTTCGGAGGTCTGAGTAGATAAAGGTTGAAAGGATATCGGTAGAACTTTACCTGTTTTCTGTAGGAATTAGTGACAAAGGGAGAAATCCACTCGCGGCGCTCGGCTCTGTAGTTATGGCAACAGCGACGCTCTGGTTTCAGTACGTCCTTGATTAACCAAGTCTCATAACAAAGAATACAAATGAAACGGATTACTTCGTCGCATTCGGTTTCGCTACTACTAACTTCGTTCTATTATATTTCCAATTTGTCTATAGGATTTATGTTTATTATATAATTTTAATATCAATTTTCTTTCGATAATATTTGTTTCATTCCTGTTTCTTTGCATTCTTACGTTTCTTAGAATACTTGCTCTTAGATTATAATTCAAATAAAATCCAATACCAACTTTACAGAGATTCTCCAGATGTTAGTCATGTGACTTTGACATCACTAAACGTGCTGCTAAATTGATAATAGAACACTGTTTGTGAGTGTGCTCACAATTTTGTCCCTCAAAATCTAATAGATTCAATATATTTTGTTATATTTAATGTTTACCTTTGATATTGCGAAAATAATTTTGGTAATTATTTAGTTTGGGATGTTTTCCGCCGATTTCGATGATTTTTGGATATGTTGTCAAAAACGTAATTTTAAGTACTCATTATGTCGCGATTATGTCTCACTCGTGGTTATAGGCCAAGGGGTTAAAATAACTTCAAAGAAACAATGAACTCACAATTTTGTGCGGCAATGTATATGTCAACTCACTGCTTCAGAAACAAAACAAATATTCGCGATTATTGACATAGGTTTCTGAATTGCACCGTAATTCAGAACATATCACACGATGTTCCGTAAGTTGCAGCGTTCATCCATTTAATTATTTATCTATGCTGTGGCATCATCGTAGAAAAATTATGATCTCATGTTAGTAATGTAGGTTATGCTGGATTGAGAGATGGCAATATTATATTGAATGTACATTCTGCATTATTAAAAACTTGTTGGAAATGTCAGAAAAAATGATTGCTGATCAATATAAACAAGAAAGAACATGGAATGATGTTAAAATAGATGATAAGATTTATATGATTTCTGTTACACAAAAGGATGACAAATTAGAAGTTATTTTAACTAATCTTATTGAAATATGGATAGAGATATTGACAGATGAAATTATTTATAAAAGATGCAAGGTAATTAATCTTAAAATATATGTATTTTGTTACATGTGATTTATATATAGATTTGGAGTTTTGTCTAGAAATTAATATTACAATATTTTTTTGCATGTTGAAAAGAATGTTGTTACATTTTACAGTTTATATGCAAAAGTTGTATGTGTTTATAACCTTATTTTTTGTATGTAGGACCTCAATCCACTTTTAAACATTACTGCTCTTAATTATAAAAATATTGTGGCAAATATTTTGAATAACATACAAAAATACATTGATAAAGCTTCTGTTCAACAAATAAAACTACGTATTCAGATAGATGGAGGTTCAATGAAATTTGTTTTGAATTTATCAAAAGGAACACCACAAGATTTTTGGGAAATGATAACTAAACCTCTGTGTCTATCATCAATAGAAATAAATCGTCAATATAAAATCCTTTTAGATTTGGTAAAAAAGAAAGACAAAGAAATTGCAGAATATAAAGCAGAAGGCGTTGAATTACTTAGAAGTATGTGTTTTTTTATATAAAAAATATATTTATCCTTCCTCATTCTAACATAAAATTTAATATTTCATTTGATGATTTAGAGAATATTGAAACAAAAGTTTTTAATGAGGAACAGCTAAATACGACCATTTCATTTCCCAATATAATCAACTATAATAGTGCGTTTCAAACATGTGTCAATTTTTGTAATGAACTCAACTTGTGGAAATGGAGCGAAATAGGTCAAAATTTTACCAGGTACAAAAATTAAAGCAATATTAAGATTTTGAAATTATTAAATCTATAAAAATTATAATGTTGTATGTTACAGTGATAATAGTAAGGATAATAGTATGGCACAAACGGAACAGAGTTCAATTATCTCTACTAACAATGAGCACACTAATGAATCTGAAAAAGATACATTAAAAAACATTAAAATTGCAGCACCAAATGGTAAAAAAAAAGTAATCAATAGCAACACAAAAACTATAAATACAATGCACAAAAAACCTATAAAAAGATTACACAAAGGTTTAAATACTTTTATATAAAATAATGCAAAAAGCACAGAATTTAGAATGCTAATTTGTTTGCAATATTTTAAGGAAAGAGCCCTATGTATTCATAATACCTTTAGATAGATAGCTCATATTTTGCATTTGAAAAAAAATAGGAGATATCGCATTTTGATATTTCTCAACAAATACCTCCAAAGATATGAAAAGTGCAAAAAGAAGTATTTAATGAAATTTTTCGGGTATGAAAAAGAATAGATCATGTCTGACATTTATTTGAATTTGTTCCTTGAATTTTTTGAATAGAAGATTTTTAATAGAATCTTTTTTACTTCTTTCCTTCATATTAGCAGAACATTTTTAGAGCTATTGTTAGTATAATTAAATGTGAAATTTAAGAACTGAATTACATGACCAAATTTTTAAATTCGTTGATCTAAGGTTTGCAGTTACTAATTTCGTATAAAAGGAATTTAATTGACCCATTTTACGGTCACTGAGTACATAGAACCTAACAATTGTTTCCTTGTATTGTGGATATATAAATGTATCATATATTGTGAAACATAGAAATATGTTTGAAAATTAATGTTTTATGGATGGAGCATGCAAAAATTGTAGGTATTTTAAAAATATTTCAATGTTAACTATAAAAATATACAATACAAATATATATTCTTATAAATTCGTAATTTTAATTGTAAATGAAAAATTGTACATAATGAAATTGTCATTATTTAATCTAAAGTATGAATTATATATATGTATATATTTTACAATAAATAATTATTCTATTTATATACCACTTTTACATGGAAAATTATTATTTATTTATAAAATTATTACTTTTATTATTATTATTATTATTATTATATTATTAATTGCATTAGTGCTAATTTTCAAGAAAACGAAGGAAATTTATCAGCAGTAATAAAACATTTGAGAAAGAAAAAAAAGTTGGGCTCGTCCGGGATTTGAACCCGGGACCTCTCGCACCCTAAGCGAGAATCATACCCCTAGACCAACGAGCCACGGTACTGATCCTCTCTTGTGTATAATTATTGTAATAATAATGACTCCATTGTCTAACTGAAGTATTATCACTCTTATTGTTTTATGATAATTTCCTTCATTATATAGTGACTTGTATGGAAAATGGCGGAACAAGGGCAACAAGATTTCAACAGAAGTGCGTTAACCGTGCGAGGTGGACGGGTAATCGGCATATATTTTCATTTTGTGACATATCTTTTTTTTAAAACAATACTTTTATATATGATTTATTCATACACGTGTTTTTTTAACAATTTAGGCATGGTATACGGGCCAACGTGCAGAAAAGATTCCACAAGGTTTGGTAGGTGTCGTCGGCTATGATTGTACGAGCTTAGATCTTTCCTACAATGAACTAACCTCAATCACCGCTATCAAACATTTCCAAAGGCTACAAGTGTTGATACTGGATAACAATAAACTTCGGGACCTAAAAACTTTGCCTCATATGCCGACATTGACCACGCTGAGTTTAAATAATAACAAGGTTTGTGTCTTGTCTTCTTTTATTTTGTGTTGTCTCGATTGCGAACATTCATGTGTATACCTATGTATATAAATTCATATCTACAACAAATACATATATTTATATTATATATTTATTATATATATGTACATACAAATGTGCATAAACATATGACAATTGGCTAAAAATTGATAAAGCTTCGATTCATTTTAATTTTAGTACATTTTTTAATGTATAAAATATATTTTGTTTTTTATTTTGATTTTTATCTAACAAACTGTAAAATTTGAAATTTACATGAAAATTCGCAATCTGAATTCTAATCAATTAAAAGCATCCCTAATAAATAAGAAATTAATCTTTGAATATGTGTGTATCCAAAGGTCGTTAGTAATTTTTCGATCTTCTTGTTTCAATTTTTAATGTATAAATCTAAGTTATATATATAAACACATGCACAGATAGTACTTTTGTAAGATAAAAGAAAAAATTTGACAAAATTGTATTGTTTTTAGTCATAAGCACGTTGTGACTCTGATATAGTGTATGACATTAATAGTTATTGAACATTTATTAATATTTGTATAACTTATAGATGATACATAATTAATTTGAAAATATGTTCACAATTAAATAATTAAAATATTTTTAGTAAAGAAAATATATATCTATAGTCATTAACATATTGCTTCAAAAACATTGAATTTCAAATCTTTGACTGTGTTAATACGTTGGGACAAAATATTTAGATATTTTTGAGGATTGACAATAGCTTTAATAATTTGAACATATTTTCTGGAACAAAAGAAACATTAAGATTTGAAACATAAAAAGCAAATATTTATTTTATTTCAA